GCCCCCATTCCTACAGATAGAAACAAGTGAAAGAGAGGCAATATGGTAGTACATACCTGTTGTCCCAGCACTGCAGGCAGGAGGATCAATACTTTTAGGTTAGCCTGGTTATAGTGCAGTTTGGCCTTGGACCAAAAAACTACCATCACCAACTGCCAACAGTAACAACAACAACAACAACCATCCCTATCTAGTAATGAAAACAAAACAGATAAGTGTGCCTTCATATTATTCACAAATGGATGAGTTCCCATCATGAATTTCTGGGCAGTATGAGAGTCACAGAGATGGCATTGTTAGAAACGGACAGACTCTTATATTACCATCTCTATGGCAAGTTGAAAAAGACTTAAGTGTGATGGTGTAGAAATGACTGAAGACTTTATGTACTATGCAAACGATCATGAAAATGATGAATGTGGTAAGAAGCTATAAATTAAGAGATCAGAAAGCCGTAAGTGAAACCCTTTCAGGGTCTTTTTAAAGAGCCAAGAAAGGTCTGTTTCCCTCCATAGTGAGGGAGCAAATCCCATGGAACAATCCCTGGCTACTCTTCGCCTCCTGTGCATTCTGCCCTGGGGAGGGACAGTGCCTCATTCAGTTAAATCCAACAGCAGAACTTGGCCTGTCCACCTTAGCTCTTTTCCTCTTCCTCTTGGGAATGAGCTACCTCTTAAGACACTTTCTGTTATGATTGTGCAATCTGCAATTGGATATTAAATTTGCCAAATTTTGAGGTTCAATCATCAAGTCTGTGTGTACTTATTCTGAGGTGTCTCTTCCAAATCAAAGGACATGGGTTACATTCCAAAATTCTCTTTGGTTTATTTCTAACTTATCAAAACCAGGACAAAGAGTAGGAGTGCTATTTGTTGGGGATGACGGCAGTTCAGATGACCTTACTGTCTGCTTTTGCATTCTCACTAGAAACAGAGAAAAAGGGAAATAGGGTAAAGCATAGAATACTTGAGCTAAAGAGGGGGAAAATTACACATGGGTAGCCACCATTGTGATCTCCCTCATGTAAATATCCATACCTGTATGCCTTTGGGGTAAGTGAAAGGGGATTTAGTGGGCAGAAGACAGAAAATATCTGACTAAGCCACAGGACAGGATGAACTTCTGAGCTTCTACCTGGGTATGTTGTTCCAGATCCAGAACAGATAACACAGGGTGAGGGAATCTAGTTTTTTTTGCAACATTTGGGCTACTCAGTTAATCTAATCATGAGCAATGCCATGGTTTTCACCAAATTATTTCCCAGGCTCTTCTCATTATACACTTTCTTGAAAACATCATTAATCTTAACTCCAAATGAGTAGGTAAAATTTTAAAAAAGTATTAAGCAATACAGACTCACTAAAGAATTGGAGGGAATGATTGAAAAGAGCCACTGCTGGAGCAGATAGAGTGTTTACAGGTGCTGACAAGGTCATGGAGAAGAAAATAAGAGTTTAAAAGCTATTGTCAAAAAACAAAGCAAAACCCAAAAATCTTTCAAGACAGATTGTCATTATGTTACTAACTGGGGAGTGATTACAAAAAAAAAAGATCTAGAACTGGGGCAAATTGACCAGAGACAGTTTCCTTTCCTCCCTAGCTAAAGCCAGAAGACGCACTTACTCTTTGTGGCTAGCGCTGATCACAGGTCAGCCACATGGACATGAACCCTAAATCATTTCATGTGTGAGTCAGCTCCGACTGCCAGATCAAAGCAGAGCAATGCAATTGCAGAGGGAGAAGAAAATCTAGTTTCTATTTTAGCAGAATGGAAAAGAAAGCTATCTTTTTTTTTTTTTTAAAGGAAGATAACAGGGTCCGGGAATGTGGCTTAGTGTTAGAGTGCTTGCCTACCATCCATGAAGCCCTGGGTTTGATTCCTCAGTACCACATAAACAGAAAAACCTGAGGTAGTGTTTGTGGCTCAAGAGGTAGAGTGCTAGCCTTGAGCCCTCCCCAGGACTGGCAAAAAAACAAAAAAAGATACAAATTAGAAGCAACCCAAAAGATCACTTTAATTTTTGGTTTTGATTTCTTTTTAATTAATTAATTAATTTGGAGATAAGGTATCACTTTTAAAGCAGGGCCAGCCTCAACAACAGGTTTATTTCCCATATATCCTCTTCTTTTTTTTTTTTTTTTGTCAGTCGTGGGGCTTGACCTCTGGGCTTGCATGCTGTCTCTGCGCTCTTCAGCTCAAAGCCAGTGTTCTACTGCTTAAAGCACAGCCACTTCCAGATTTCTGGTGTTTAATTGGAGATAAGAGTCTCATAGACTATCCTTCCTGGGCTGGCTTTGAAGCTTGATCCTCAGATCTCAGCCTCCTGAGTAGCTAGGATTACAGGTGTGAGTACCAGTGCCTGACATATTTCCTCTTTTTTAATTTCTAATTTAATTATTTATTTGTCCTGAACTGGGACTTGAATTTGAGCCTACTATCCCTAAGCCTCTTTTGCTCAAGGCTAGCACTCTACCACTTAAGCCACAGTGCCACTTCTGGCTTTTTCTGTGTACTGAGGAATCGAACCCAGGGCTTTATGCATGCTAGGCAGGCACTCTACTACTAAGCCACCTTCTCAGCCTCTCTATATTTCCTCTTTACACTACCCTATTGGGATAGAATGCGTGGAGTTTAGCCCTACTCTTCTCCATTACCATTGAGAATTGTCATGGAGAATGACAGTGCTGCTGAGTTCTGATGCTGCTACACTTTGGCAGCTAGGGTCAGCCAGGTTCTTATCTCAAGAATTCTGTCCTGCACTCTGATGACTAAGACTGGAATGGCAGTGCTGGAAGGAACAGATTTCATAGTTAGAAGAAGCCTTTGTTCTCAGAAACCATAGATGTTCAATTTGAATATGAATGGAGCACTCTACTGATTAACAGTGTATCTTTTACATGTCATTGGCTGATCTACCATTTGAGCTCTGCCTTACATCCTGCTTTTTCGTGGTTACTTGGAGATAAGAGATTAATATGTCTAGGTTACCTTTGAAATGAGATCCACACATCTTAGCCTGAGTAGCAAGGCTTTCTCTCTCTTTGTCTCTGTCTCTGTGTGTATGTGTGTGTGCCTGCTTAGGCTGACTTCGAACCTTAATTCTCACATCTCAACTTTTTTTTTTTTTCTTTTTGGTTGTGGGGCCTGAAATCTGGGCTTGGGTAGTGTCCCTCAGCTCTTCAGCTCAAGGCTAGTGCTCTACCACTTGAGCTACAGTGCCACTTCTAGTTTTCTGGTGGTTAATTGGAGATAAGAGTCTTACGGTCTGGGAAGGTGGCTCAGTGGTAGAGTGATTGCTTTGCATTCATGAGGCCTTGGGTTCAATTCCTCAGCATCACATAAGCAAAAAGAAAAAAGCCAGAAGTGGCACTGTGGCTCAAGTGGTAGAGTGCTAGTCTTGAGCTGAAGAGCTGAGGGACAGCGGCCAGGCCCAGAGTTCAGGCCCCACGACTGGCACAAAGCCAGGCACTGGTGGCTCATGCCAGTAATCCTAGCTACTCAGGAGGCTGAGATCTGAGGCTCGTGGTTCAAAGCCAGCCCGGGCAGGAAACTCCCTGAAACTCTTATCTCCAATAAACCACCAGAAAACCAGAAATGGTGCTATGGCTCAAGTGGTAGAGCGTTAGCCTTGAGCTGAAGAGCTGAGGGACATCACTCAGGCCCAGAGTTCAAGCCCCACAACCGACAAAAAAAAAAAAAAAAAGAGTTTCACAAACTTTCCTGCCTGGGATAGCTTTGAAGCATGATGCTCAGATCTCAGCCTTCCTAGTAGCTAAGCTTACAGGCATGAGCCACTGGTGCCTGGCACATCTTAACTTCTTTTTTTTTGGATCCGGTCGTGGGGCCTGAACTCTGGGCCTGGGCGCTGTCCCTCAGCTCTTCAGCTCTTCTAGCACTCTACCACTTGAGCCACAGCGCCACTTCCATCTTTTTTCTTTTTGCTTATGTGGTGCTGAGGAATTGAACCCAGGGCCTCATGCATGCAAGGCAAGCATTCTACCACTGAGCCACCTTCCCAGCCCACATCTTAACTTTTTAAGTAGCTAGGATTATAGGTTTGAGCCACTAGCATCTAGCTATGATCTTTTATGTTTAAACATGGTTAGAATACAAAGTGCAATATTAGTGATTAAATCTTTATTTTTATTTTTTATTGTTACTATACAGGTGATGAACAAAGGGGTTGATTAAATCTCTTTATTAAAATTATTTCCTTGCTTCAGAATTAGAAGCTAATCTCTCTCTCTCTCTCTCTCTCTCTCTCTCTCTCACACACACACACACACACACACACACACACACAGAGCCAATCTATTTATCTATGGGGGAGGCTTCAACCAAAACACCATGGTTTTTACATGGATCTCAGAAATTCATTGTGTTTTAATATCTATTAGAAATATTTTAAATTGTAGAGGTTTAACTATAAAGACAATTTATATCTTTAGAAGCATTTGCAGCTTTTTTTTTTAAAGGAAAACAAATGACTTCTCAGTTCCATTCTGGTATGAGCTACAGAATTACTGGGTCAATCTGTTAGCAAATCACCTGGTGTCTGGTGCCTTCCTTTGATCTGCCTTTAAAATGCCCCTTCGCCTCTAAGCTGCAGCTTAGAGTAGGTTAATGAATTCATGCTCCCAAGTATTTTGAGGTCTCCTTGTAATGGCACTATGTAAGTATTACAGTTTCTAAAAGATATTTAAATTCTTTCTTTGTTCAAGGACACCAAAGCACTTCACTGGAAACAGCAATTAAATAGATTTCTTAGCAAGAGTACCCAGTTAATATGTTAATACATAATTAGGAATAAAGCAACCACACACTCACAAGTACGATTAACCTGCTCAAAACCACAGTGTGACACAATTACTTGGCTCCCTCGATGCTTTCCAATAGGTCTAAGGATAAAGCATTGTTGTTCATTTCTTTATAAAGTTAAAAAGACATAAGCCAATAGAGCTAAAAGATATGATATATGAAAGAAGAAACAGAATCTTACCTATGAGCAAGGTTGAGCACAGGGCTACTTGAAGAATTTTATAGGCCATGATCCTGTTTTTTAGAAAGAAAAAGATTTTTCTTTTTAAATTTAGCCCAGACAAAGCTTTAGGGTAGAGCAGTTCTTTTTTCCAGAATTATAGTGCATTTCTTGTGTACCTGAAAACCTTGAAAGCTGAAACCAGAGAGAGGTTCTTCCTTGATGTGGCTTATTTTATATACCTCTTGCCTCCCTACCCTTTGGACTTTTTGAACTGACTTTTTACAGGCTGTACTTAGACAAGTCATTGATTTATTTACTAATTTTACCATCATATACACTAATGTAATATTGAAAAAAAATTCATGTAAAAGCCAGCCACTTACACATTACTGGTAGAAATGTAAAACAGCATAGTCACTTTGGAAAACAGCTCAACAATTTCTTCAAAATTACAGCATGCCATTACTGCTCTACCTAGCAATTGTACTAATGGGCATGTTTCTCTGAGATATAAAAAACTACATTCACACAAATACCTGTGTAAGAATTTTCCCAACGGCTTTATTAGTAGTAGACAAAAACTAGAAATAAGCCAGCTGCTCTTGGATATCAAATATTAAATTGTGGTACATCTATGTCATGGATTACTTCTGATAATAAAAAGAATCATGCTTCTTTTATGAATACAACTTGGATGCATCTCAAATGAGTCCCAAATGGTGGCATATATTCTATATATATGTTATATTTTATACATATTTTTATTATCTCTCTCTCTCTCTCTCTCTATATATATATGTATATATTTGTTAGTAGTGAGGCTTGAACTCAGTGCCCAGTGCTGTCCCTGAGCTCTTTTGTTCAATGAAGAATGCCAGCATTCTACTAGTTTGAGCCACAGCACCGCTTCTGGTTTTCTGGTGATTAATTGGAGATAAGAGTCTCAAGCACTTTCCTGTCTGGGCTGGCTTTGAACCACAACCCTCAGATCTCAGCCTCCTGAGTAACTTGGTTTACAGATATGAGCTACCGGCACCCAGCATACACATACACAGATACACATATATATGTATATATACTTTATTAGAATCAATTATTTGTACAAGGCAGTTACATTTGGAAGTATCTATATATGTATGCAATGAGACTCAATCCCACTGGCACTGTCTCCTAATTAATGTCATCTTCAGGAAAATAATAAAATGGGTAATGAGAAGGAGACTAGAGATTAGAGCGAAGCAGGAGAAAGTAGATGGATGTGTTTACCAAGGGGAAAAGGGAGTCTCCATGTGGACTGTGGTAGAAGAAAACAAACGAGGAAAATTTATATAGAGCTCAAAACACATATTACAGTAAACCTGTACACAAACCCTCATACACTCACATATTCACAGATGAGACATGCAGGAGTGGGAAATCTGTGACCAGTAGAGCAAATCAATGTCAGTATGCTGGTTTTGATATTATGTTATAGTTTCCGAAGATGTGTTCCCTGGGAAAAGCTTAGTAAAGGACACACAGGGTCTCTTCATATTATTTCTTACAAGTGCATGTGAATCTACCTATTTCAGAATAAAGTTTATTAAAAATAAGAAATGTTTAACTTCACTGTCAAATTTGTTTCCAACAAAACATATAATAGTCAAACCAGAACACTGTATTCATGTTTCCAGCAATTGCTTGTTCAGAGGCATAAGGAGCAATTAACTGAATAAATTTATTACCTGATAAAATTTATATGGAATGCTAAGTGAAATGAACCCCAATATAGGGACACAAGAGGTTTTATCTTTTTTGCTGTTGTTTTTAATGTATTATTATGTCTTATGTGATTTTTTTGTTTCTTTTGTATGCTGTCCCCCCCATGGTATAACCCCTGTTTGCACTGTATTTGATTCTGGTGCCCTGCATCTTGTTTATACATTTTTCTGGTTTGAGGAGGGGAAGGGAAATAACAAAATGCTGAAATAAGGATACAGGTTGACCCATTGTAACAATTAGATATACAAGACACTATGTTGAAAACAAACTCTACAACTTGGGGTGGGGGGAGAGGAATTAGGGAGGTTGAGAAGGAAGAGAGGTTAGGGGAAAAACAAAGGAGGAGGTAACAATGCTCAATAGGAATGTACTCATTACCTTACTCATGTAACTGTAACCCCTCTGTACAGTATCTTTACAATAAGAAACTAAAACAAAAGAAATAACTCAATGAAAACAATTATATGGAATGGCAAGTTCACATCTGTTACTCAGTCTCATCAATATTACCCAATCTGTAACACATGTAAAGATATAAAAGTGATAAGGAAAATGTCTCCCTTTCCTTTTCCTTTTTCTTTTAAACATTTTTCTTTGCCTTTCTCTCTTTGCCTCTCCCTTCCTTTCTTCCTTTTCTCCCTTCTCTCTCTTTTTTCTTTCTTCCTTCCTTCTCTTCCTCTTTCTCCCTCCCTCCCCTCCTTCCTTCCTTCCCTCTTTTGTCTCTTTCTTTCTCCCTTTTCTTGTCTCTTTATTTCTCCCTTCCTTCCTTCCTTTTTAATGATTAAGACTGAGCTTTAACTGGTTTTTCCCTGAGCTTGACTTTTTCTAAGATGTCTATGGGGGAAAAAAAGAAGTTGGAATCCAGGAAAATTGGCAATCTTAATTATGAAGAAGAAGAAATGCTTTGTGAAATGAAATTAGGATCTATCTTTGAAAAAGATAGATATGTAGATCAAGTGGCATGAATTCAGGAAGGTCCTCAATGGAGTCTGCTTACAACTTTGATGCTTTAGGTTTAGAAAGTATTACTTTGATAGAGTATGACAGACCTGGTCAGCTCCCATGGGTCTCAGTAACACTGATGAAATATAAATGTGAAAAGAAAAAGGTGTGAAGTCCAACATTATTAGAATTTGTGTGTATGTGTGTCAGTATTCTCATATAACTATTTTGCTCGAGGCTGGCACCTTACCATTTGAACTACAACTCCATGTGTGTTTTTTTGCTGGTTAAATATAGATAAGAACTCACATACTTTCCTGTCTGGGGCTGGCTTCAAACCTCAGATCTTAGCTTCCTGGGTAGTAGGGATTACAGGCAGGAACCATCTACGCCTGCTCAAAAAATACACACACACACACACACACACACACACACACACACACACACACACACACATATTAAAACAAGACAAAAGAAAGGAAAGTTTATTCTCTCAGAGCAAACTGCCCTGCACTTTGGTTCTGCTTTGAGTCATGCTACCCATGCAATAAGACTCAATAAACAGCCAGCCTTTGAAGCATGCAGTGCTCATTTGTAACATTCTGATTACAGGTGATTCAGGGCATGGTCCAACCTGGCATGACACTAATAATATCAGCATCAGTCAAGGGTAGAGGTTCAGCCAGTGATGGAGGCAGAGAAGACACAAAGTTTTATTATTGTTGTCTTGAACTTTCAGCCACATTCAACTCTTTGAAATGTGCTGGTCACAGTGCTTTATTTCTATGACCTTAGATGAGCTTTTCAAAGAACACTACATAGGAATAGCACTTAATGATAGCGCCTGGCAAGGGAGTCATTCTCGAACTGATTTGACAGTAGATATAGGTTTCCTATAATTTATATTCCAAGGTTTCTACAGTTGAGGGAATATGCCATTAGACTTGGAGTTACTGGCTGACATTTAGGCAGAGAAAGACACAGAGACCACAGCCTTTGCATGAATAAGAATTTCTGGAAAGTCTCGAGCTACATGCAGAAACAGCTCTATAGAGAGACAGAGAAATGGCAGATTGAGACCTAACTGGCATAATGCAAAATGACTTCTGAATTACATAGAATATGCCTTTGTTCTGGAAATCAGGAAGCTTTTGTTCCATTTTTTTTCCATTGTGAATAAAACATAGACTTGCTGTGGACAAATAAAAGCACTATTTCTTTGGCCTTTCCCCTCCAGACTATGGTGCACACAGCTCCCCAATTAGCAGGAACAGGATTCATTTGAAGAAATTATCTAAAATCTTGAACACATACATTTCTGCCCTGTATTCATTTTAAGTGTGATTGTTACAGATTTTGCAACTTAGCTGCAACCTGAGATGCCTGAGACTTAATAGTTAGAAATATAATTGAAGGACTTGAATAACAGATTTCCCTCTTAGTTAATGTAGAAGGCTCATGGTGTGTGTGTGTGTATGTGTGTGTGTGTGTGTGTGTGTGTGTGTGTGTGTGTGTGTATGCATGTATGTATGTGTGGGGGGGTGCATGCAAGTGCTAGTGCTGGGTGTGGGCATTGTCCCTGAGCTTTTTCACTTTACCACTGGGGTCACATCTCCTTTTCCAGCTTTTTGGTGGTTAACTGGTTATAAGAGTCTCGTGGAGGGGCTGGGAAGGTGGCTCAGTGGTAGAGCGCTTGCCTTGCATGCTTGAGGCCCTGGGTTCGATTCCCCAGCACCACATAAGCAAAAAGAAAAAAGCCGGAAGTGGCGCTGTGGCCAGGTGGTAGAGCACTAGCCTTGAGCTGAAGAGCTGAGGGACAGCGCCCAGGCCCAGAGTTCAGGCCCACTACCGGACCCAAAAACAAAACAAAACAGAAAAAAGAGTCTCGTGGAGTTGCCTGCCTGAGCTGGCTTTGAATCATGATCTGATTCAGAGCTCAGCCTTCTAACTAACTAACTAGGATTATAGGCAGGAACCACTGCTATCCCACTTTGTTCATAGTTTTCAGAAGATTTGAGGAAGAAGGAGGGTGCTCACTGTGATATAACCAATTGTTATCTTAAGAGTTACATCAGGGCTAGGAATGTGGCTCAAAGGTAAGGTGCTTGCCTAGTATGCATGAAGCCTTGGGTTTAATTTCTCAGTACCACATAAGTGAAAAAGCCAGAAGTAGTGCTGTTGCTCAAGTGGTAGTATGCTAGCCTTGAGCAAAAGAAGTTTAAGGACAGTACCCAGGCTCTGAGTTTAAGCCCCAGGACTGGCAAAAGAAAAGAAAAAAGAAAAGAAAAGAAAGAAAGAAAAAGAAAAAAGAGTTATGTCACTTCTTTGTCCAGGGAGTGCTTTCTCTTTCCTGTTCTCCATCAAATTGCTCTCTTGTGCCTCTAAAACAGAGGAGTGGAAAAGAACAGACAGTAAAGAACTCACAGCCTTACCCTGCAACTAGAAGTCATTCAGTCAACAACTTATTGAGTGCTTCCTATATTTTTCAAAACTCCATCTATTCTGAATACACTACGCATGC